ACCTACCACTCAAAAAAAAAAAAAAAAAAAAAGACTTTGCCTTATTTCACTGTAAAGAGTGCTGAGCTATTGTGGAAGGAGTGAGAGCTGAGCTAAGATCGGTAAGGCTGGCTGCACACCACAGGCAGTGGGGAACCTACCCCCTGTGTACTTGCTCTGCTTCTGCTTATTACACTACCCCGGTATCCCTTTGTCCCCAGCCCATGGTCTGTCTCCTTCATCCTCAACACAGAATGTGTGATGGTGTCTTAATCACTAGCTAGTCCTGATACACATAACAGGTGGGGTTTTAGTTCACCTGAAAAGTCCAAGCTATAAAGGCTGCCTTTGGGTGCAACCTAGGCTGCAGAATCCATAACTCTAACCATGGCAGCTTTTGAGAATTGAACAACCTATGGGTAGTATTCTTGGAGACAGAAAGGAGGCAAGAAGCGGGGTATGTTCTGAGTAGTACAACTATTATAAAGTTCAGAAGTATCCAGTGAGTAGCAAAATCATTAGAGAAAGGAGATAACACTTGTTGAACAGGCACTTTCTCTCAATGTTGACTTGCGACATGAATCATCTCATTCGAACTTCATACCATGCAACAACAAACACTAGTCTCTCCATTTTGTTAAGTACCAGAGGAAAGCCAGGGGGCTGTCTCAGTCTGTAAAATGTTTGCCTTGCAGGTGTGAGGACCTAGTTCAAGCTCTAGAAGCCACATTAAAAGACCTGCTTGATGTTCAGTTTAGCCTACTTGGAGACTGAATCCCTGAGAAACCCTGTCTCAGGAGGTAGATAATCCTAAAGAACAATGCTGGATGTTGACATCTGCCCTCCACATGCATGTGCACACACATGTCACTTTCATATTCATAAGCACACATTAATTATTCTTGAAAGAGACTCATGTAAATTCAATATATTCCTTAAGATGCTCTATTTAACCAAAAGGAACAAGGATTTAAAGTCAGATCTGGTTGGCTTAAATTTTAAATTCTTCTAATATGTCAGATTATATCCTGTGGCAGTGCAGTCCAAGTTCTTAGATGTCTATTTCTTCAACTGCATAAAAACTAATAATGCGAAACGAGGCTAGCTAAAGAGGCAGCCACAGCTAACTACCAGAGAAGTGGTGTGGGGGCGGCGAGCCAGTGCACTGGAGTGTGTCCAAAACTCTTAGCTGCCCGCTGCTCTCACAGTAGCTCAGACAGTAGAAGACTCATCTGTCGCCAAGCACAGAAGTGGAAGGTTCGCCTTGAGAGCTAGAAAATTATATTTATTTTTTAAATGGCCAATAATTTCAGCAATTCTAAGAAAATGTGACTGTGGGACCAAACTCTTCCTCTTTCTTGCTTTTATTTTTTCTTGTTTTTCTTTATCCTGTCTTTCCTTAAAGTGACAAGGACTCACTGTAACTAAGTGATGAAACTAGCTCTCGACAACATCAAAACATGGCTAGTTTGGAAGCAGAAGTGAATGCCTCCCTACTAAATGTCCCCAAATTATGGCACAGTTCTTAGATTTATTGCAGATTAAAGTTAGGAGACTTTTCATTTACTATGAAGGGTTTACATTCTATCTTTTTCTGTGCTCCTAACTCCTTGAATTGTCCTCATTCTTCTGAATTTATCTAAGAGTTTAAATAAGAGTTTAGGGATGGGACAAATGGCTCATCAATTTTGAGGGCTTGCTGCTCTTGCATAGGACCTGAGTTTGGTTCCCAGAAGCTTACAATCACCTGTAACTCTAGTTCTGGGGGATCCAATGCCCTCTTCTGATCCCTGTGGGCTCCTGCACTCACATGCACATACCCAACACAGAAATGCACATATAAAATAAGTCTTCTTTTGTTTTTGTTTTTGTTTTTTAGACAGGGTTTCTCTGTGTAGCTTTAGAGCCTGTCCTGGATCTCACTCTGTAGCCCAGACTGGCCTCGAACTCACAGAGATCCATCTGGCTCTGCCTCCCAAGTGCTGGGATTAAAGGCGTGCACCACCACCACCCGACAACAGTGACTTAAAATTAATAATCATTAAGAAATGGAAACTACAGTACTACCTCCTTCCCAACCCACTGTCAAGGGAGTGGTCTTTGTCCATCCACTGGGGACCAGTACATCTTGGACATCCAGTCTCCAGTCTGTGCTCTTCATAAATGACATGCCCATCTGGGAATGTGGCAGCATAAATAAAATGAAAACTTTTCATTATTGTGGCTGTAGAGATGGCTCAGCAGGCAAAGTACTTGCTGCGCAAGCAAAGGGACCTAAGTGCAGGTGCCCAGCATCAACGTACAAGCCAAGCACACCAGCATACCTGTAAAGCCAGCACTGGGAAGGGCAAAGACAGAAAGATCCCCGGAGC